AATGCAATTGCATTTTATTAGCCTCATGCATCGACCCCCCATCCCCTTCCTCCAACACCCCCCCCCCCGCCCGCTGCCAGGCTGCATCCGATCCCCCAACACACACACACCGACTGCAGCTGCTGTTGCCTCCACCACGGCTCCGCTCTCACTGCGACAGCTCTCCATTCGGCCCCGCCCCCCTAAACAGACCACGCCCCGCACACCCGCCTCCCTCGGGCCACGCCCCCTTGCCTCAACGGTCGCCGCGGCAGCCCAACCGTCACTATAGGAGTGGGAGGAGGTGTCATAAGCCAATCGCAGCCCACTGCTATACTCACGGCAATGACTCACTTGTCATTGGTTTTTTGGTGGAGTCTGCCCTGTCTATTGGCTACTCTATGCATCAGGCAGGCGGGTAGCACCGCCCACTTGTTTACCGGCTCGAGCTGGGGGAGAGGCTGTTGCCCCAGCAAGCATTCCATTGGCTGTTAAAGTGCCTCAGCTCCATTGTGATTGGTGGAGAAGCCTGAGCTACTTTAAATGGAGTGAGCTGAGGGAACTTAAAGGGGTGAGGGCTCAAGCCAGGGTGTACCTTTGCCCCAGCGCCCATGCAATGTTCTAGCCTGCCCCCACCACCTCAGGGCATGGCAATACCCAGCATGCAACACACCATTCCCCTTGAGTCCCTCAAACCATGCAACACCTAACTCATGCCAATGGGATACACATCTCCCAGCATGCAATGCTCCATCCTACCCATTGCACCCCAAGGTACAGCACCTCCCAGCATTCAACACTCCACCCCATCCTGGGTACCCTGAGGGGATAGTATCTTCCAGCATGTAATACTCCACCCCTCCACAAGCACAGTAGCTCCCAGCATGCAGTGTTCTATCCATCCCGCTCCCAAGCACCAAATGGGGGTAGCATCTCCCATCATGCAACATTCCACCCTATGTCATGGGGCTGGCCCTTGCCCACATGCACTGCTCCAGGCTGTCCTGACTGTGCCTTAAGGGAAAGGCATGTTTCAAACTGTAACACTTCCTCTTTGCCTGGTCTTTATCTTACCTTGAGCTCCCAGCAGGCATCACTTCATTTGGCTCTGAATGCCTTAGGGGATGGACCTTCCAAGCATTCAATGCTTCATCCTACTCAGAGTGCCCCCAGGGGATGGCAGCTCCTACCATGCAACATTCTGGTCTGAGCAGCTTCTACGGGAATAAGAAGTCTCTGCATTGCTCTGTTCTAAGTGGCTCCCATGTCACTCTGTCCCAATCTAAGTGGTGATGGAAAGATGTGAAGGTCCATGCATGGATCATTCATTTGGACCCTCCCATGACAACAGCTGGTTCCCTAACACCATACTTCATTATGAGCTGAGCTGCCTCAATGGAGCCTAGGAATGACGCAACATGCAATGCTTTTAATCGTGATCCAAAACTGCCCGCAGAGATGGAATGGAAAGGGAGCTTTCCAGCTTTGGACTCCTCATCTTCATCTTTCAACGATAGCAAAAAAATACACAAATTTGAGCTCTTATATATTTCTATATCGTGCAATATACTTTGGAACGAGGGAATTCCCGAACTGGATCACAGCAAAGGTCTATCTAATCCAACGTCTTGTCTATGACAATAGACAGTACTAGCTACTTCACAAAAATATGCAAGAAACTCTGTCATGGAAAATTCTGGAAAGTTTCTTCCTAATCTCCATCAGATGGTGTTGGCTTATACCTTAAAGCACAGGGGCTCATATCCCTTCCAAATGCTTGGTGGTTTTTTTTTTTAATTATTAAGCCCTTTTTGTCATCAAAGGACCATGCAAATATTAATGCATTCTCTCTACACCTTGCTGAGATAGGTAAATATTACGGTTATGCTGGGGATTGGGTTAAACCTTGTAAAAGCTGGTTGGTGTAACCATCACTTTTCATTCGGGACAAACCTAAGAAATAATCAAGCTCCTTCATAGATTATATCCCTGAAACAATAAACGTCACTATCCAAAACACAGGCCATGCACAGCTGGGCAGCAACCGATCTATTTGGGGCACTGGGTATTGTTTATTTTGGAGCTCTATGTGAGTGAGCAAGAAATAGAGAAACACCTTGGGAGGGGACAGAGAAGACATCAATGAAGCACCAAACGCAGCCAAAGAAGGACTGGTAGTGTGGCTCTGAGAAAAAAAAACTAAGAGCGAAAGAGCTTTTGGGCTAAGTGCTGGCTGGAAGGGGCTTGGAACTGTGGATAAAGAAACTTGACTCCTACTGTGTTCAAAATCCTGTTTACCTGTATACATTCCTGGTAAATAAACAAGACTGCATCGAAGAAATACCTGACTCTGATCAATTTCTTCCCCCTAACAGAAACAACCTGCAAGACCCTGAATTTTGGCTAACCAGTTGGGTCAAAAAGGGTAATGAGACAGAGAGGTTAAGTAGGGCATCCCTGAGATTAGGGCTCAGGAGAATCTAGCTACCAATCACATGCTCAAGAAACTTGGCCATTCTGCTTTATCCCTCACAATACCTACCTGGTGGCTGCAATCCTGCTCCTAACCAGCATTTCACCTAGTTCAAAAACAGAAGCCATGTTTTAGACCAGTGGTCTCCACTCTATGGCCCTCAGTGGTGACCAGGTTAAGAAGAAAATTTGCATTTTATTATTAATTAAAAATGTGTTCGCTGAGCTGTACCCCCAGGAACATGTGATTCAGTCCTGTCACTACACAGAAGAGATAGGGGCACCATTTCCCCAACTGCCTCCCACTGTTTCCCCTGAAGCCTCAGGGGCAGCTCTGGTGTGAGCCAAGAGCATTCTGAGCAGCTGCTCTCCCTTCCCTGCTGCAGCTGGCTTCTGGCTGCATGGCAGGGGAGAGAAAGTAGTTCGGGCAGCTCGATTGCTTGCTTTTCCACCAGGTTGTGGGAGCCCCAGAGAGAGCAGGCTCTGCCCATGGAGTTCAACAGGCTCTGCCCATGGAGGGTAGCCCAGGAGAGGGAAAAAGAAGAAGTTGAGAACCAGCAACTATTTACAGCTCCTTCATTTTGTGCTCCAACCCAGCTGGGCACTGCTCTAACTTCTGCTAGTTGGCAACAGTCCCCTGTGGACCATGCACCAGCAGGAGGATAGCCAGAGCCCTGTGTACTCCAGCCACACCTCCTCCTCCATGCACTAAACATCCCCCTGGGTTGGGAGGTGTCCAGCTATGCCAGTTCTAAACCCACTGTTGTCTCCCCCACGATCATTCCCAGCAAGGGCCTTGTGGATGGTTTCCCATCCTTTTGTTGCAGCCTGAAAGCTGCAAAGGGAATGAAACAGCAGAAAGTGCCCCAATGTAGCAATTGTGGCCCGTTGGCCTTTTTATGTCTGCCCCTTCAGCTGAAAAGGTTGGACACCCTTGCTGGATGGTTTGGGAACATCAGAAAGGGCAATAAAACACTCATCTGCAACACAAAACAGATGTGACATGCTTAGTTCTCCATTTTATACAACAATAACACCAGAGAAGTTGAAAAGTTCTTCTTTTTTTAAATTAGGTTAAATTAAGATATGCTGCTTTTTCTTTTTGTTTTTCAAGACAGAGCACTGCCTTCAAGGTAAGTGCTTAATTACATTTCTAAAACAATTTAGCACATGTAGCAACACAGAGAACCCAGCCTCTGTACACAGCCATAATTCAATCAAGGCATAGTCAGACTAAACTTGAGAAATTGGCATTGAAGGAGTTATAAGGCAGAAGTGTAATTATTGTAAAGATGGGGTCCAGTTGGATTATAATTCTTATTTTTAGCAGGACTGGAAGTAATAATTTAAAGAAAATTACTCTTTTATGGCCATAAGAAAAATAGAATTTAATATCTACAGTTATAGAAGGAAAACTAGAGTGTGATGGATAGTACTCACGGCAAAATAGTTTGGCAAGATAATTAAGTTTATTTGTAGAGCCTCCAGCCTATCTTTTAAAGAAGACTGAATTTTTCTCTCACTCTAGAAATCACTTCCGTCTTAGCTGCAGGAGTAGTTAGACTACGTCTCTTGTGCTTGGACTGTCATTCTGGTTTGTAGACAATAAGCCTTCTCTCTGTCTTAGAACTCCTAAAAACCTATGATTTCTAGACACAATAGCAAGAAGAGGCTATAGAAGGCAGATGGAATAGAGGAGTTGTAGAGCTGTCAGACAATTTTAGTTGTGTTGTTGTTGGTATTGTCAAAACAATCCTGTTTCATCTGGAAGGAAGGGATACTAGATTTAAGCATATACTTAATACTCTCTGGTTTCAGAGTGGCAGCCGTGTTAGTCTGTATCAGCAAAAACAACGAGGAAGGGCTCCTTGTTAAAACTCCCTGTAAACCAAACACCTAGTGTGCAGATATTAATTGCAATGTAGAGGTAACGACAACAAAGAACAGGCAGAAATGCCACTTTAAAAAAGAATCCTTTACCTCTAAAAGGACACTCACCATGGCTGACAGAAAGAGGTGCCATTTTTCAGTGCAACGTTAAAAAATTTCTCTCTCTTTGTGTCGGCGTTTTGCCTACTTTGTTGTGGTTCAGCTTTTGGGGCCTGATCTTCTGAGATGCTGAGTGCCTGCTGGGAATTAAGGGCTCATATTGCTCCCCAGTTTCTATCCTCTTCCCAGTTCATGTTCCCTTTCCCCTGTAGCCCAACCACTGCAGAGGGGACCATACCCACTTAGCTGTCTTCTTCATAAAGCTCTAACGTGTCAGTTTCTTCCCACACAATGTAGAAGGGCTATATTTGTATAGCAGCCTAGGTGAGGGATATAGACCTTCCAGTCCATCCCAGTTATCTCAAATGGAGTCCATAACTTGATCTGGCTGGGAATTGGATAAAGAAATCAACACATTTAGACAGACTGGGGTATAGGCGAACCATAGC